TGCAGTACAGGTTTATTAGGATCAGATATCAGATACAGTACAGTATTAGGATTTTTACTTCTTTTTTTTACATAACCTAACCTGAACTTTCAGTGCAATAGAGACTTTAATCAAGAGAGGCAGCAGTGGACCTTACACAGAATAGACGGCTTAAAAAAAATCAATGTAATTCATGACAATGATATCATGTCATAGTGATTTATCGTTTTTGTTATCGTTAAAATTAATTTTAGCCATCACACGAAATTACTTAATTATTTTGGCGAAAGAAACAATCGAAAACATTAAAATAAAGGTCGTTTTGTTTTGAAACAATAGTCAATTGATCGTTTCAAACGTACGTAGCGCAATAACTAACTGATCCCTAATCAAAGAATAAAGAAAATAAAAGTAATTTCACAAAGATTGCATCTCGCTTACAACTGAGCAAGTTCGTGTCGGATATAACAGTGAATGGTTCAGTTGCGAGAATTGCGATCACCGCTAAAACGTTAGTAGTAAATTTATAAGTTTTTTATTGTTTAAATAGAAGCAGGGTTTAAAGCAATACATTGCTTAAAAGGTACATACATAGTCAATGCCAATTGAATTGCTCGCGAAGCCCATAGTAAACACATCACATCATCATCATTTTCCTAAAACATTGCCTTACCGTTTAAATTTTTATTTTTTATTTTTTTTGGAGTTTACTCCTTTAGAATCGATTTACATATATAGGCCCGGGGTATGAAAATTATGGGGACCAAAATCGTACTAGCATGTCACACGAAATGCGTTATGCGCCTGATTGCGCATGTCACACGAAATGCGTTATCGCAGGTGACGCCGGGCTGCTGCGCCGGCAGTCCGCCACAAAGCCTCGTACTGATCGCGCGTTTCTCTCATTATTGTATTTTCATATATTTGTTAGTCGTTTGTTTTGTGTCTCGTTAATTTGTTAATAATCTGTAGTGTATCGTGTTGTCGTAATATAGAACTATTTCTCGTATTGTTTCGTTTAATTTTTTATATCCAGTAAACTCCAGTCGTGCGTCGGAGCGGACACACACACTTTTTTTTATTGCTGTTGTGGATGCACGAGCTCACAGCCCATCTGTTGTTAAATGGTTACTGGAGCCCATAGACATCTACAACGTAAATGCGCCACCCACTTCGAGATTCTAGATTCACAAAGTTCTAAGGTCACAGTATAGTTACATCGGCTACCCCACCCTTCGAACCGAAACGCATTACTGCTTCACGGCGCGGAAATAGGGGGTGGTGGTACCTACCCGTGCGGACTCCCAAGAGGTCCTACCACCAGGACCTAAATCCAAAACCACTACTTTACACTATAGAAATTTATTTATTTATTTATTAAGTTGCACCAACAAAGTGATCATCAATACAAAACATTGACCAATTGACAAAAGTTTATGGCAGATGTCACCTCAATTATAGGTGCAATTGGCAGAATAAATTTCTTTCGAATTTTCTTTTTATTTAATAATTGAAAACGAGGTATTCTTTATACAATTTAGATCAAAGCAGAGCCGATTTCACTGAATTTTGATATAACCAAATTATATTAATTTGTAGGATATAGTAGAACCCGTTAATGCGTAGGTACAATTTTTTTTTTCATTAATCTTCATCATTTACAATATTTCCTTCTTTTTTTTAATTCAAAACTCCGATGTGTAGCAGCAGAGAGAATCTTATATCGACTATTAAGATACTTAGCTTAGCTGTAATACTTTGCTTTAAATAACATATCTACGTCGAATAGAATGGTATAACGAAATTGTTACTTTACTGCTATTGTATTGCCAACGGAACTCCGAGAGGCGAGATTGATTTCCGAAATAGACCATAAATTGTCATAAAATTGCGGTATCGAAATGATAAACTTTAAATTGCCGTTTTAATGTCTTTAATGGGAACATTATTAAAATTGATATTGTACGTTTTGTGCAAGTTATTGCTTAAGGTCAGTTTTATTAAATGTATCAATATTATAGCAATAATTGGTGTGCACGTAATCAGAGATAGTGTGATGATGATGAAGTTGAGGGATCTCTGTCAATGAATTTGGACTAACTTTTTTCTTTTAAAGGATCATTAATATTGTTTATTAGTAGATGAGTTCACGGCTCATTCGGTACGATGTGGTAAGCAGAATTCACAGAAATCAAAACGTAAACGCTTACCCACCTTATGACAGTTGAAGGGTTAATTTTTTTTATTTTCCTACCTATAGGGGAAAGTGGGGGAAACGCGAACGCTGGGTAATGCCGAATTCAATGGTTCTAATATGTTAGAAAGATATATCCTAATTTTATTTGCCGCCATTTCGGAGATCACGCCACCACTGATACCAGTCAATAACACGAGAGACGCGGACGCACGTACTTAAAAAGGTATGCATTTTTCAATATTTTGTATGTTTTAGATGTAATTTTTTGGTAAATTCAAGTTGATGTAACTTTATTTCTATGTACAATAATAATTCAGCTTTTACATAGTGGAATAATCACATATTACTCAGCTAAATGATAATGATGTAGTAGGCAAAATAAATTTAACCAAAATTGTTTTTTGACCTTTAATTATTTTCGATTCCGCGGGGTAAAGACGAACACTCCATGTCGGGCAATCTCGAACATTCGCTGTTACCCCCCTCCCGTTTGTTGGTACCTCGTTCAACTTTTTTTTAAATATTATTACAGATGCCTTGTACTTATAAAAGAAAGACCGAACTGAAGTATAGTTTAGAAGATCTCAAAAAGGCTACAGACAATGTTAAAACCAAAAAACTCTCCTTGCGTAAACATATAATGTTTCAAAAACCACTAATTTTGACCATCTAATGAAAGAAGTGTTAATATAGCCATGGTCTGGATGAAAACCTTTATTTACAGACAATCAGGAAACGTAAGAAATCAAGAAGAAAACGGAAAGATGGCAAAAAAGGAACTCAAATAAAAAGACTGAAATGTAATGAGAGAACACCTTCAAGCAAGAAGTATGAAAGATTATTAAAGAATTTGAACAATATAAAAACATCCTTTAGTGACTCTAGTCGAAATACAAAAAAAAAAAGAAAAAGGCGAAAAAGAAAATGAAGACTACTTTTGTATTTTTTGTAGAGATAAATATATTGATCCTCCCGTTGAAAACTAGATTGTGTGCTATGTGTGCAAAAGATGGGCTCACAAGAGTTGTACTGAGGGACAGTCAACATCGTTGGGTTTTAAATGTGGTGTGATCTATGTCGTTAATAATGTTAGTTCGTAATCACCCCACTTGGTGTTCGTATTTACCCGACTGATGCGTTATGCGCATTTCGTGTGACATGCTAGTACGATTTTGGTCCCCATAATTTTCATACCCCGGGCCTATATATGTAAATCGATTCTAAAGGAGTAAACTCCAAAAATCTGTGATTAAATTCCATTGTTTTATTTAAGTTTTCCCTTAGGTGTTCGTATATCCCCCACTTTCCCCTACTGATAGCCTTGAGAGGCTATTTCAGCTTACCCTACCCTAGCATATGTAGGTGAGCTCACGGGGCTCTAACCGGAGAATTGCTAACAATGACCCTAGCAAGAGCAGTGCTTCGCAGAATCTACCACCGGATCGGAAGCGCGACCCACTGAGAAGATCCGGCGAGAAATTCAGCGGGCTGTGTCTATGGGTTATTTGGCTCGTCGAGCCCTTCGTCGCAAGCGACGGGTTCGTCGAGGACGGTGACCGGTGCTTGTAGTGCCTAAAAGCACCCAGTTGAAGGGTAGGGCAGCCGTTGTAACTATACTGAGACCTTAGAACTTATATCTCAAGGTGGTTGGCTTATTTACGTTGTAGATGTCTATGGGCTCCAGTAACCACTTAACACCAGGTGGGTTGTGAGCTCATCCACCCATCTAAGCAATAAAAAAAAGTCAAGGAATTAAAACCTTAGATTCTGTTATATAACGACCAACCAGTGCATATAATTATGTCGCGGCAGAAATAGGTATACTGATTGGTGATCTACTCGTATAAGCTCACGCTACGCGAAGCCGTTAGAAAAATCTTAGTTATCATTAAGTAAGTAAAGAAATTTACGTAATACGATCCATGTTTTTTTTTGTCTTCTGTCATTCTGCATAACATTTGTGAGCTTGATTGAATAATCAAATAAAAGAATAACACAAAATATGTATTTTGTAGTATAATCTATTCTAATAAAAAAGTGATTCATGGCTTATCATAAAAATAGCTATTATCGGTTTTATTTTTGTTTAACTTTTTTTATTTCAATGTAGATATTTTTTAATACGTTATATCACAAGCTTACGTAAAAACTCAATGGTTTTTCCAAGATCCTTTAATATTTTAGGAATTGAGATACGATATTTTCCGCTTATTTCTGCCGTGAAGCAGTAATGCGTTTCGGTTTTAAGGGTGGGGCAGTCATTGTAACTATACTGAGCTCTTAGAAATTATATCTCAAGGTGTGTGGCGCATTTACGTTGTAGATGTCTATGGGCTCCAGTAACCATTTAACACCAGGTGGGCTGTGAGCTCGTCCACACAACTAAGCAATAAAAAAAGATAAGATTTTTATGGGATGTTTTTTTTTTATAGCCTTTGCTGCGGAAACTTATTTCCATTTAGAATATTTGGCAGCTGATAGGAACGAAGTTCCTTATTACAAAAATATTAATTTTAAGTTCTATTCGAGGTATAAAGAAAATAAAAGAGGTTTCGCAACAACCCACGGTCATTCGGTAACGTGCGAACTTATTGTGGTACACTTCATTCACGGTTGTTTGCATAAGAGTTAGTGTATTGCGCAAACGAACGCTCTGAGATCGTGGTCAACGAATGATAAAAAAATATGTTATCTTTTGTACGCTATTACAAAGTTAAGTCGTACACTGTGTGCATTACTAATAAAAATCTTACGTTACGAACGTTTTTCCCAGTTAGCGTACCGCTCCGCATCGTCCCACAAAGAGCTTCGTTCCAAAACTTACCGCTGTTCCTCTCCATGAATTTCCGATATGAATCCACGATCGATATGTTGTATGTGTTTTCTACAGCTCCTGTAAGTAAAAGGATACTTTAACAAACATAAAAACATGAACACTGTTAATTTTTTTTTTTTTTTTTGTTTTTGTTATAATAATCAATCACCAAAAGTTTAATACCTACATACGTATTAAAACTAGATATTTAAATTTATTTTGATGTCAATATTTAAATATGTATATGTCAACATCTAAACCCAAAACTTGGCTTAAACCAAATGATTGTCTCGATATTATTGAGTCAAAATAATTATGAAACATAACAAAATAATAATAAAATGTTTCATTCAATTCAAGCAGCGTTTGTGCTTCGATAGAATTCGATGAACATACTTCTGACCGAACCCTACACATAAAATTAAACTTTAAATAATGAGCGAATAAAATTGAAATTTTAATTTAATTTAAATTGAAAATCCAAACGTACCCGTCATGGCTTAAAACAATTTAATTACAATAACGATAAAATGTAATCAGAAGCATTTCAGTAAATTCAAAATAATTAATCGTAATTTAGTGCATGAAAAATATTAATAAAAAACTACACGTATGTACTTTAACTTAAGATACAAAAATGAACAAGCCACAAAAGTTTAAATTTAAGGAAACCATCGTGCTGGAATATCATTCGTATCCTTGTTTGTAATTCCACATCTGCAAGCAATGACCCTATTAGTTCATTCCTCAAAAAATTCTCATAATTCTTACCATTTAAATTGTTAGACAAAAAGTGGGGTCCAATTTATGCAGATGTGGAATTACAAATAAGGATACGAACGATATTTCAGCACGATGGGTATCCAGCGCACTATCGAATTACTGTGCGTACTGTTTTTTTTTTACACTTTACCTATCATCATGTTATTCATTTTTTTCTGAGAATCTTTCCTTTTTTTTGTGAATAATTTAATGTTTCTAAGTAGCTAATAAAACAAGAAAGTTATTCTAGTAGTTTGTACGCTTATTGTTTAGTTGATTTTTCAAAATAAATCCAGTTTTCTATCGACCAAATTAGAGAATCAAAACAAAATTTTATATGAAATCACTTGCTACTTTAAAATGTTTGACATTCGTGCCAGTATTAGTATTAATAAATGTTAGTTGATGTATTGGTAACTGATAAAAATTCAAACAACTTAATTCTAAACAATAAAATGCTAGTTATTTAATGACTTTATTGCAGTTAATTCGGGTTTTTTTTTAAACAAAACGAAAAAAATTAGATGTATTATAACATCCCAAGAGGAATACGTCGAATTACAAGTCACCCTGTATATTATTATATTAGCATATTATATTTAAACTTTTATATTTATTGTGTATGTATGTATTTTCTTTAACAATCTATTATTAATAACACATCGCAACATATCTGCTGTATCTTTATCTTTTCCAAAATTTCTCTTAAATAAACAGTTGTCTGGAAGAAATCGCTTTTAGCGATAAGACCGCCAATTGTACAAATGTATCTGCTTGTTGACTGTTTTCTAATGTTAATTGTGTTTTGGTGTGCAATAAAGTAAGTTATTTCTCTCTCTCTCTCTCTCTCTGTCTCTGATATTACAAAATATATTGAATCAAAAACCCGACTCGACGAAATTACGATTGGAAAGTGACGCACGCCCTAAAATAAAATCAACTTTAAAAATTACTATATTATTTGTTGCGCAAAATTCACAATCAGACTAGTTCATATTAAATGGATGCTATCAAATCAGTGTTTCAATCAAATTGAATTTCACTTATATTTGCATGACTTCACAGCGCTTACATATTTTGTTAATTTGACAAAACAATTGTAGTTTGGTTACTATGGCATTAAGTCCGCCTTTATACTGTCAAGTATGTATATAAAGTTATAAATAAATATTACCCACGTTAAGATATTATGAATTTAAAGTTTGAATTGCGCTTGGATTAATTTTTTAAAGTAACTTTTTTTTTTAACATTAACTTTAAATGTTAATGAAAAATTAATCTCTTCAAAATAACAAAAAATCTAGTGACGTGAATTATGAAAGTATAGCATGATTTGATCTTTAATCTTGGCTCATAGCATCGCTCTTAGCGATAAGACCGCCAATTGTACTTTTTTGTATTTAATGTGTCGCACTGTTGATCTGTTTTTTAGTGTACAATACAGAATATTTTCTCTCTCTCTCTCTCTCATAATTATTTTGTAGAGATATAAAAGAAAACTGTATTTATCTGCTGAGAAACGAAATAACATTCATCATAAATCTCAAAAAAAGTAATTGACCACAATAAGGAATCTTTAAAGATTGGTTCTTTAGTTATTTTCTTGTGTTTCAATCTTAATAAATCTAATTACATAAGGTACAAATCAATTCAATTCAAATCACTACATACGTATATCAAATTACTATTCTTCACGCCATGCTTACGCAGTATACGGCACGCCCCGCATTATTGAGTTACCTTTTATTGACATAATAGTTGTCCATCTCAAGACTGAACTGGTTATGATCTCAATAGTATTGTTACTATGCCTATTTTTCTCTTTTAATCAGAATGTACGGTAAATTCGCAGTATATGTGAGTGTGGTATAAGAGAGACAATACATATATATAAGCAAATAGTGCTCGTGAAAGCCAAAGATTATTCCCATAAACCAATTGTTTCAAAAATCGATAGTATATTAATATAATTATTCATAAACTAAGATACTGCCCTAAAACAGATACACATTAACTTTACTAAGCTAGTTCCCATTTAGTATAATTTACCCATTAGCATCTATTTTTTTTCCAATTTGGCGTCCATTAAAAAACAGGAATTTATTGCAGGTTTTTGATAGATCAATTTGATCATTTGTTGTCTATACGATCTATCAAGGTTTTTAGGAAGTAGTAACGTGTTTTATTAATGGTACACATTGTCAGACGACCTGATGTCATTAAGTTTTTTTTTTTTTTTATTGCTTAGATGGGTGGACGAGCTCACAGCCCACCTGGTGTTAAGTGGTTACTGGAGCCCATAGACATCTACAACGTAGACGCGCCACCCACCTTGAGATACAAGTTCTAAAGTCTCAGTATAGTTACAACGGCTGCCCCACCCTTCAGACCGAAACGCATTACTGCTTCACGGCAGAAATAGGCAGGGCGGTGGTACCTATCCGCGCGGACTCACAAGTGGTCCTACCACCGGTAAGAGTGACTGTAATGTTATTTTACTGGTAAACACCCTGCCTATTTTTACCGTGAAGCAGTAATGCGTTTCGGTTTGAAAGGTGGGGCAGCCGTCGTGCTGTAAAAACTGAGACCTTAGAACTCATGTCTCAAGGTAGGTGGCGGCATTTACTTTGTCAGTGGGCTCCCGTAACCACTTAACATCTGGTGGGCCGTGAGCTCGTCCACCCAATTAAGCAATAAAAATTAACAAATAAAAAGTGAAAACTAGAGGTGTGACGTCGAAAACTCAAATGTAGTGAAATAACTTTTTTTTGGTTAGGTGGACGAGCTCACAGCCCACCTGGTGTTAAGTGGTTACTGGAGCCCATAGACATCTACGACGTAAATGCGCCATCCATCTTGAGATAAGTTCTAAGGTCTCAAGTATAGTTACAACGGCTGCCCGAAACGCATTACTTCTTCACGGAATAAACAAGCGGGGTGGTGGTACCTACCCGCGCGGACTCACAAGAGGTCCTACCACCAGTAATAACTTTTACAACCAGAACATTTCATTTTTATGCTGCAAAAATAAGGTGATATGAACTGTCCGTTTGGAGTAGTTTGGATTAATAGCATCGTTGTATAATTATAAATGTCGCGTATTGTTATTATTTGAAATATATTTAAAAGAATCGTTGCTTCATCGTGGAATTTCAATGCTAGGTGCAATTATCAAGGAAAAGTAACTCATGCAACACAACTTAGGGCAATCTATTAGTAGGTACACGACCATTTTGTTTATTGGCAGAGAAGAACAACAACCTTGGCGTGATTGTTCATTCTATTGATAATGGAAATAAATCAAAAATTGTGGCAAGTTATTCCGTCTTAGAGTCAAGATCAATAAAAATCGAACGTTTTTTTGGATGTTTTGTCTTGACCAAAATTTGTTAAGCGCGATATTGATTGAAACATTTAAACTTGGTGCAAATATTTTAAATGAATTATGTCCTGTAATGTTTGTTCATTAATAACATTCCTATATCGTTCTATTGAGGTAGCAACACTGTGTCCGATCGATGACTTGAAGATGTGGCCATCCGATCGATGACTTGAAGATGTGGCCACGTAAGTAATGTACGTCAGAACGAAGACAAATATTTGATAGACAAAAATAATCTACTAAGATCCGGTACTCATTGAATTTAAATGAGGCAGAATATTTTAGTTAAGGTGGAACTATTTCCATCGTATTTTGAAAGCATTTTGACCTTCTACTTTTTTAGACCTCATCTATTTTGTACTTCGGCTACAATAATAGAATAGAAAGTTTGGTTTGGCGAGTAAGCTAACCCATAGACACAGCTCATTGAGTTTCTCGCCGTTTTTTTTTTTTTTTTATTGCCTTTGTAGGCAGACGTTCATACGGCCCACCTGATGGTGAGTGGTTACCGTCGCCCATGGACTTCAGCAATGCCAAGGGCAGAGCCAAGCCGCTGCCTACCGCCTTCTCAGTGGGTCGCATTTCCGATCCGGTGGTAGATTCTGCTCTTGCTAGGGCTAGTGTTAGTAAAGCGCCCAGATTAGAGCCCCTACACGTAAAGTTACTCTGGCATAGCCTCCCAAGGGTACCAATTTCTGTAGACAAAAAAAATTAACTCACGAAATAAGTATAAGGAAACTAAAACATACGCTCCTGTTGGTTGGATAAAATATCGAGGTCAACTCGTCTGAGTAGGTTTGACACTGATCATCAACTAATTTGGTACAAATAACGACTATTGTGTCAATGACACGTATAGTATCTATATTGTAATGATGTGTCGGACGTATAACGGAAATTTAAGAGATCGCGCACTCACGTATGTATGTTGCAC